CACGGGTTCGTTCTCCGGTCCGGGAGGATCTCACATGCCACGGAGCGAGCCATGGCCGCTGAGCCTGTGCGCCCGGAGCCTGTGCTCCGCAGTGGGAGAGGCCACAGCAGTGAGAGGTCCACGTACCGCAAAAAAAAAAAAAAAAGTTTTTCTGAAATAATCCATCATCTGGCCATTGACAATTAGGATCCGCATAGATATACCCATTCCAAATGTGACTCAAACCAATAAGACTTTTTGTGGCTTAGTCATGAACACAATAGGTGTCTCTGAAGAGGGCACAGAAGATGCAGCTTCCATACTTCAAAATAACTCCCAACTAGAGGTGAAGTGAAGAAAACCAAGTTGCCATAGGTGCTAAGAATGCTTAGTTCCAGTCTTCCCACAAAAGTGAGGCATCTCCAATCACAGGCCTGCAAATCTATGATAACAGATGGGTGATACAGAGATCGGAAGTCTTAGCACTACGAAGGCATTGGGAAGGAGATGACGAGGTACCTTATGGGTTGAGACCCTTTAGGATTCAGTCTTAGACAACCTCCCTGAGAGCTGGCAGTGGTTGGCAGGAAGTTTTGCTTGTGCATCTCATGTCTCAGTACGCTCTCTGGTTCCAAGCTAAGCCCTCAGGACGCAAAATTGAGAGAGAAGGAAAAAACTCATCTGGTTTTATTGGTGGCCCACAGCAAATTTGTCCAAGCAGATACTGGTCCAGTGAGAACTGCAAACTCACCAGTCTGTGAGGGTGGCTTGAACAGGCTTATGGAACCTATACCTGTGTTCTTTGCTTTGACTGTCCTTCTTAGGACAAGCAACACTTTTAGACATCACAGCACAAAACAACAGCAAAAAAGAAAGTGACAAGAAGATAGCACAATGACTATTTATTGGAAGATCCAAACCAAGAGTCATAATACCCAAAGAACAAGACGAGTTCTAACCCAAACATTTTCTCCTGTAAATCTAAATTTTGGAAACTTTCTTTCTGAGAAGATGAGAGGCTCTTACCACTTTTGCTCAACTGGACCCCAAGCAGAGATCTGGGAGTCTGATGGTAAGAAAGTTTAATTTTGCCAGCTTGGTCAGAGATCCTAAGAGCTCAGCTGCGGTCTCCAGAGTGAGCGAAGATTTCTGACCATTCAGTCCTCATTGCCAAAACTGTTGGGAGGAAAATCTTTTCCTCTATCAACTGAGGTTCGATTGTTAATCTCCTGAAAGATTAACAGGAGAAAAGTTTATTACTCGTGCATGCAGGAGTACTCTATAGGGAGTAGCTCTCTGAACAGCTAGGGATTAGGATTTACATACTAGCTTAATAAGGGGGGTGGTTTAGGGCTTCAAAGGATGGGAGGTTCTGATGAGGTTTGTTTACACAAATTAGGTTTGAAATGTGCCACTGCCCAAGGTCAGCTGCCCCTCCCTCCACTCCCTTCCCCCCACTACTGGAGACTTCCCTGGAGTGGTGAGGAGGGAGGTAAGAGGGGGGCACTTGTGGCAGACGGCTCTTGTAAATCTCTGGTTTAGTCAATAGGAGAAGCTCAGAAAGGATTTCTTTCTGGATGTGTAGCTCAGATATTTTCACTTTGATGTAACCTTTATGCCATTCTGGTGGGTCGTTGGTCCTTTCACATGGAACCCTGGAGAGGTTCCACGTTAAGCATTTAGAGTGGAGGCAAGCAATGCACAGGGGAGATGTGTGGGGCTGGAGGAAGAGAGTTGTCTGAAACAGTGAATGTAAAGTTAGTGGAATTCCCAGGTCCCTTTCTCCAAACTGTAGAGCTGGACAAATAGCTGTGCTCTATTCCCATGAGAGAGATAGAGAGAGAGAGAGAGAGAGAGAGAGAGAGAGAGAGAGGGAGGGAGAGGGAGAGGGAGAGGTAGAGGGAGGGAGAGGGAGGGAGGGAGAGAGGGAGAGAGGGAGAGAGAGAGGGAGAGAAGTTGGATTGGTTCTTCCCTCTGGAGAACCAGAACCAGAGAAGCTTCAGAAGGGGTGCAGACTGACACTGTCTAGGAGTGGATATGGACTAAAAACATAGCTCCCTTGCGCTGTCTGGTCCCCAAGCACCAGCTACAAGCTGTCTGCTTCCACAGGCAAGAAATTGGAGCTACTTTTCTGAAAAAATGAATGGCCCTACAAATCAGATTTCCATACACTGAGATCCAGGAGCTTCTCAAAAATAAAGTTTACCCCTAGTCACCTAACAGTGAGTCCACCAATTGTAAGCCCTTTCTATCACACATAGCTCCCAGTCAGCTTCTAGTGCCTCATGCTTAAATATAGACAGGCATTGATAACCTGATACTTGAGAAAGCCTAAAACAGAAGAGAGAGGCTAAAAAAATCCTGAACTGAAAGGACTCAGAAGAAACAAATATTTCTTAGGAAAATATAAAAAAAATTAATCTGTAATTCAGCTGTTTATATAAGGAGACTGACATCAGAGCTGTTTACAGTCACAAACCATTAGAAACAACTGTATGTCTATCAATAGGATGTTGGCTACATTCTGCTATATTATTCTGATAAGTCCATACTCTGGAAAAAAAAGGGGTAAAGTAATTCTATAAATTTCAAAATGGAAAAATATTTATACCATGTTATTTGATAAGTTAAAAATACTTTTTGTACAATTAAAAAAATCATAGATTATGATCCCATTTATGCAAAAATATGTTTGTGTGCTCCCACAAAGAATTGGATATGAATATATCAGATTACTAGCAGTGGTTATATCTGGGAGCATCTTAGGGGCAAACTTGACTTTCTGTATTTATTCATTGTTCAAGCTTTTTTACTACTAGCATTTATGGCTTTCAGCGTTAAGAAAGGAGCTTAATTTTTTTAAGCAAAATATACCAGGACACCTGCAGAATAACTAAGTGACTGCTTTTATTTAGCCACATCTGCTTAGGAGTCAAGGATGATACTCCTTTACCAAAACATTCCCTAGCATGAATTAACCTAAAATAAAAACTCATCTCATCCAAAACTATGTTGCTTGTTAGCTATGGTTCAGTAATATAATACGTGAAGTTCTGAAGTCGCATTAACATTTCTTATGATGTTACAGCAAAATTATTTGATGACAATCTGGATTACATACACTTTTCTAGAAAGTTTAGTGTAATACATTTTCCTCTTGGTGCATAAAATTTGTGCCGTGCCTCTTCTTGTTCATTGGTGCTGCTGGTTTTTGGTCTTCTGAAGGTACAGAGTTCCCTTGGGGACTTCTTTCTTTGTAGTAATCAGGAAAACCCCAAGGAAGGCTTGGTGGATTCCTGAGACTTGGGGGCCCATTGCTGGATTGGGCTGGGTTGTTACTAGTGCGCAGGAGCAGATATGACCTAAGTCATTATCAAGGAGGAGAGTTGGTATGAGAGGGGATCACGGGTTCATCTCCAGGTTCCGTCTGTAGGAAATGAGACCAGAATAAAAACTCTCTGTGGCTTCGAGTGCCCTGAGAATAAAATCAAAACCCCTCAGCCTGAAAGGCCCTGTTTGCCCTACCAAGCATCTCATCATTTGAGCCAATTTGGCCTTCTTTCAGATCTCTGGAGGCCAAGCGTTTTCCCCTTTTAGAGCCTCTGCTCATTCTGTTTCTTTCCACCTCAATGGCATCCCCTGGCTCTCCCGTGGCTGGCTTCTGTTCACCCTTTCAGGTCACAGTGTCACCTCTTCAGAGGTCTTTCCTAATTAATGAATCTTAGCAAGCTTCCTCTATCTCTGTTTCAGTCCCCTGATTGTTTCCATCTTAGCACTTCACATTTTGTATTTATTGAAGTGCTTTTACTCACTCTCCCTTCTACTTAGATTGTTGGTGCAAACTGAACATGGCCTTTCTTTCGTTTGTACCACCTGCAGCTGAAACTGTCAGCGCAGCACCCAAGTCCCTCTCCTTTATCACTGCTCGCCTGCAGGCTTCCAACTGCTAGCATTTGCAGTTCTGTGCCTGAAGACTTAACTCTGGTTTCTGGAAGCTGACTCTGCCTACCTGTGCTTCTGCCTGGAATGCTGGAGAGGAAGTAGCCCTCAACCAGTCACTGATAGGAATTAGTGTATAAATGCCCAGGCTCCCTCCCCCATTTGGGGAGCTCGTCAGCTAAAGCTGGCTGGCTCAGTAATGCATCTTTTTTTCTTGGCTAACTCCCCTTCACTGTCTCATTTCACCACTTCCTTACTGATGTTTTCTGCACTTTCCAAATAAACTACTTATATTTAAATCCTTGGTGGCGGGGGTGAGGGGTGGGAGTGGGCAATGCTTCTGGCACGTGTAGGTGACAGTATTTGCTGAATGAATGAATGAATGGCTGGCTGGCTGGCTGGCTGGCTGGGTGGATAAATGGAATAATAGATAAAGAGTAGGTTACAAAATAGAGTTCAAGGCTGCATGAGGTGTAACATTTCAGACTATTGACTGAAAAAGCAAATGTTTGGTGAGCTCATTCTAACTGGGGCTAGTTGGCTCCCGCAAAACACATAAGCCCATATAAGGGTAGAGATGTAGGCAGGTTAGAGACAATCTAATACGGCATTTTTAAAAGCTAAGTTTTCTTTAGGTCCACTGCCCAATCTTGATGATCACATGGATGCCCGACTTAGGTGCAGTTTTTACATTTATTGTTTTATTACAGTATTTACCTAAAGCGTTAAAATGTGCTATGCAAACTCATAAATAACGTTCAACGTGAATTTTATTCAGTTTAGGTGAAGTTAACAGTCCAAAAAAATTACCTTTCAGAAATATATCTGGAAGTGAGGATTGGACTGTAAGTGAAATCGGAGGGTGAGGTTTAGTCAGACCCTCAGAAAGAAGTGATCACAAAAACGGACTGCAGCTGTGGAGGGTGAGGTGCGTGATTTCAGTGCAGGAATCGCTATTAGCTGTTTTTATCAGTGTTAACACTGGACAGGTTCACACGGTTGTTTAGCGACAGACTAGAATCCTGAATCAGAAAGCATTTCTATTTTCAGCAGATTATGAATATGGAGAGTTCAACTAGACTATGAGTTTCCTGATAGCGAAAAAAGAACGTCAAAGTCTGACCCTAGGGAGGTCAGTGTATGGCATGCAGGTGATTTTGAATGCATGAAAAGTGTGAGTGTTTGGGCCAGATGGCTTTATAATTAGTGCTGTTTTCAAAAGCAAAGCAATTGGTATGGACTAGTAAATCATTCATCACTAAGTAAAGCATTCCTCAGATGACAAAAGAATTTAATTCTGACAGTCCAGGTGATGAGTGTTATCTAGCTCTACACATTTAAAAATTAAAGATAATATATCTAAAATCCTGTAAATTTGTATAAACTTTCTATAAGGAAATATTGATATAATGGTGCTGGTTGAAAAGTATTTGTGTTTAAGTGAGCATTATGGGTGAACCTGAATTAACTAAACATGTCGATGGAGATATTGTTCAGGAATAATTTCCAGGAAAAATTTAACTCCTTCTGATGAATCAGCCTGCCTTTTTTCTTCATGGGTATTGGGAATCCTGCAATTGTGTTTCTTCACATATTTTGGTTACCAAAGAGATCAGAACTTAATTTGCAGCTCAATTTTCTCAAGCACATGAGAACTTATGACTTTTATATGTGTCTTCTAAATTTTTCCTTGTTTTTAAAATCTACTCTGATTTTTCTTTTTCCTGGGCCTGCATTTTTTTTTTTTTACCTTGCCCGTATTTTTCTCTCCTACTTTATGTAAGTCACCACAAGCTTTTTGTGGAAAATGAAGGAGCAAATGATTCATAAATAAAACATAAAGAAGTAATCTATTTTTATTACATTTGTATTCTTTTTTTTTTCAAGGCCAAATGTTTGCGAAGAACAGCAGCTGACTGTGGTGGGGCTACCACACCCGTGTGTCCAAGCATTCACGCTCACCATCAAGATCTGGAAACGGCTGCAGTGGCCCATGGTGGTGTGTGAGTTATGAAAGAAGGTGAGGGTGCTCCTGCTATGTCCTTTTGATTCCTGAAGATCAAAGCCAAAGCCTCAACGGCATCTAAAGATTTCATCCAATAAATTTTAGAAAATAACTACATAATTAAGTAAACGAGTGTAACCTATGCCCACCAGGAACTTTCAAAGTGATATATTTTCCTTCAGAAACAGGCTATATTATTACTTTAGTTCATGCCTCGTTTTATGTGTGAGCTATTTGGGGTTCGATGCCACTAATTTTACCTCTTGACATGATAAACTTTTGAAAGCTGGAGATCAGAAGCTTGAGAGAAACAAGGAATATTGTGTTGGTTTGCTAAATTTAGCATGACTTGGATTTGGGCATCTATGACTGTGAACCGTCTCATCTGCCCTTGGTTCTCTTGTAACACTTTGAAACCTAGAGCTTCTTTAACTTTATTATGGCGTTTGAATTAGGATTAACTGGGCTGTATGCACTTTCTGTGCGTGAAGCCTTCATAGGGACTTTTTAAAAAAAGTTTTAAAATAATTTTATAAAATATCTAAGTACCTCTTAACACAAATAGCTGCTAATGTGTTCAGGTTTTACACATTAAAACTTGTAAAATGAAATCAGGAAACAAAGTTAAAAAAAGTGTGGCTTTAGATTAATGAATTTATTCTTCTTATTATTACTACTACTACGATTACTAAAAGAAAGTTGAGGGCATTTGTAAATAACTGGGTTTGCCATTGTGTAGAAATGGCAGAACACTGATAATATAGGACTAAGTAAAATAAGATTAAATCATTTATAATTATGGATATTTACATATACATTTTATGTGTGTATTTTTCATCTTCAGATACATAGTCTTTTTTTGGTCTATACTCAGGACCTTTAAATTAAATTTAAATCAGAAAAAGCTTCAGGCTTTTACTGGCTGTGTGGCACTGGTAGAAGTTCCTACATTTCTCTGTGCCTTAGTCTGTAAAGTTGGAAAAATAATACCACACATGGATATTACGAGGATTAACTGAAAACATATTTAACACCTGTGGCACAATGCTTGGTACATAGTAGGTAATTAGAGTACCTGTTTTTGAAAATAGCTTTTCATTTAGATTTTTTGGTACTCATCCCATGAGGTTTAATCATTGTTGATATTACACTGAACCAAAGAAAGTCCACTACCATATAGACGTTCAGACTTGGGAAAGCAAACATGAATAAGTAAAACATGTTTTATTTATTTTCAAGAGCTTAATAGTTTCATACATCCGTTTATTCAGCAAGTATTTATGAAACTGAGTTTGGAGTTGAGGCAGTGTTAAAAGATGTTTGACATTTTTGCCAAACTAATATCCCTTTTGTTTGTATGTAAGTTTGCAAACCTACACTTATATCCCTGTTGAAGAGATGCACCTCCAAAATATTAGGTGACACTTCAAGATGGTGAATAATTGTGTCATAAAAATTGACATTAAATCCTATTTTTGAGAGAAGAGAAAGAACAATATACATTGACATGATGGGGAAAGAGAAGTTAGAGGAAGTGAAACTTGAAAATGGTTTTGGATATGAAGGGGATTTGGGCTGGGGATATGAGGATAGGTATGTGAAAGGAAGAGAATATAATACTTTGGGGATAAAGAGCAAATATGACATCAATTTGATAGAAAGGACGTAAACCAGTTTAGAGATGTCTGGTATTATGGTCTATTAAGAGGTCAGCACAAATAGTTAATGGTATAGTATTTTCAATTTTTGTTCATTATTGCCCCCCTAAGGAACCTTTGTAAACTTTTTTTTAAATTTTAGTAATCGTCCCCCTCCCCCATGAAGTTTTAATACCACAGATATACTTTGTTTCTGTTTGTGAACTCTGCTGGTTTGTAGGACCACAGACCATTGTATTAAAGATTATTTTTCACCGCTCCTACCCAAGTACCAATTGTCCCCCCACTTGTGGGTGATGTCCCCACTGTTGAGAATGCACACTATCACGAGACCAATACATGAGGGGCCTTCACGGTCAAATTGAAAAGCATGTGCCTTATTATCCTCCAGGATTTCATTATTCTCTTCATAATTTTGGGTTCCATTTTTGATAGCTTCAGTGACCCTTAGGTAAGTTTATGCTGCAGGACTGGAGCCCCCTCTTAATTTTCAATAACCTATACCTATATTGAATCTTGGTTATATATTTAGTGTGTGTGTGTGTGCATGCACGTGAGTGCATGTATAATGTATACAGATAATATATTTTTGTGTATGTGTATAAATGGCAGGATTTGGATTGCAGGGAGAATTTTTTAGTGAGTTTAAAGTGACAGCTTTGGCCTGAAGAGGAAGCATTACTGACCTAGATTCCTATTTCTTAGGACCTGGTACTACACCATCTACAGACAGTCATACAGCATGGAGCGGCAGACCATCTACAGGCGCTGCCCTGGTTGGAGCTGGCAGGACAATGAACCTGACTGTCTATGCTGTAAGTTATAATTCTTCCTGTCTAACTCTCTGTCACTAGAAGTAGTGGTTTCACTCTGTTTTGGGCTTCAATCATATCATGCCTGTCAAGTTTTAGGCATCTTTAGAATCACCACAGATTCAGAGCATCTCTTTGGACTGAAAATGCACACATGACATGTGCAGAAATGCACAAAGAGTCTTTCTGTTAAGCGCTGCTAATGATAGGTCAGAATTCAGGACCCATAGAACTGCTGCTTTATATTCTGTCTCTTTATGTAAAAGACAGTTTGTTTAAAGCCAGACGGGTTACACCTTGTAAGCTTCCATCTCCCTTTTCTGTTCGCCCCTTTCCCATATCATCAAATTTGTAATCCACAGCTGATTCAAAAGTCCGGAGGGAAATCACTGTATGAAATCTAAATGGGATTTCTTGACGTGTGCTTGTCATGATTAATTGCAGAACTCGGGAGGCAGTTTACTTTTTAAGATGAGGCATGCAGTCCTTTTACAAACCTCTGGTTGAGGGTACTGCAGAACCTTTGGAGTATATTTGACAGCCCTCAAGCAGCAGAACTAGTGGCATTACATAGTTCATTCACGCCAGGAGAAATGGCTCTGTTTAGCGACTCCTTTACCTATGTGTTTATGGTTATTGTGAAGTCACTTAAAACGCTTCAGTGTGTTGCAGTCAGTGCAGACCACAGCACAGCAATTCATCTCTCCTGTTATCCTGCACCTGCGGGAGTTTGTTGGCAGCCTGCTTCCCTCCCCACCGTGCTTTCTTCTCTCGAACTGTCTCAGTGAAGTTGCCTCCGGCTTCCCATAGTAAGCAGGCCTAGGGTTGAGGGGGTCACTGTGTTTGCACGCAGTGCTAGGCCACTGCAGCTGGTTGGCTTAAACTCAGTGAATACATCTGCCCACGATGTCCTCTCAACTGTATTATAGACTCCTGGAAATTAATGACTGTGAGATGAATTCTTTATATTGTTGTATGACACCTAGCACAGTCCTTTGCCTCTGGTAAGTATTCGTATTTCTTGCTTGTTTTTTAGATTGTTTGGGCTACACAGTCATCTTCTCCATGGAGTTCCTTTATTATTAATTCCACTCCTTTTTTTTTCTTTAATTTTTATTGGAGTGTAGTTGATTTACAATGTTGTGTTGGTTTCAGGTGTACAGCAAAGTGAATCAGTTATACATATACATATAGCCACTCTTTTTTAGATTCTTTTCCCTTATAGGCTATTACTACCCAAACTCGAATGTGAATAAGGATCAGCTTGTTAAGATGTGGATTCTTTTTCACTAGGTCCAGGGTGGGGCATTTCTACAAGCTTCAAGGTGATGCAGATGTTACCACGTACAGAGTTCTGCAAGGCTTTAGACAGCAAGGCCTTAATGTGTAATGAAAACACTGTTTTCTGTAGAGGGGCTATGGAAGAGCTGGTGGAAATTTCTAGATTGTATCTATATTAGCAACTTGGTGCTTACCTTGAGGATTTTCTTTCTTTCCCTCAACTCTGTCCTCCCTGGCCTTCTTGTGTACCTTCCTTTTAGCTGTCTCTGCAGTGGGGACTTGTTTCCATGGGGAGAGATGCTCAGAGGGTGAAGTCCGGCAGTGCCAGTGTTCCGAGGGTTTTCAGGGACCCCGCTGTCAATACGGTGAGTCGCCAGCGAGACCATTTTATTATGATTTGGAGCTGTCTGCCTTGCTTTTAGGGGCCAGCCAACTTTGTCAATTCAGACTAATGGCAGGGTTATCCCTCTGGGGATTGGTGAGCATTTTAAATGAGCCACTAAGCAAAACCCCACAATCTACAGTGTACTCGGCATCGCAAATTATGCTTTGCAGTTTAGTTTTAATTATTCACTATAAGAGTTCAAAGGGTAGCAGTAAGTACAAAACAGTCTATTTTGTAAAGGAAATGGCAGCTTAATAAGAAAACCTCTTTCTGACCTCAGATGTTAAATCTTTAATGGAGCCATGGTTTGGAAGTGCTGGTACAGTATTCTTCTGTGAGATTTATGTGGTTTGTGAATGAACAAAGTGGAGATTAAGATGAATTCAGTGTGATGTGATATTTACTACTTTTGTGTTCAGTGCTTTAAAAAAAGCATGAAAAACCTGACACTTGCATTATTCTCAAAGTTTCAAAACTCGGTAACCTAGTTTTTAAGGTTGGAGCTTAATCAACTGTCAATTCAGGACATGTGCATTTAACACGTTTCTTGTGCAGGAAATTTTCAAAATGGCCAATGATTTATCTTTTACTGTATCTGCTATGAGATTGGGTGCTTTCAAAAAGGATTTGTTTTGACTTGATCATCTGATTCTAGTCTCCAGAGAATGTGAATGCATCTGCATTTATCTTTTCAGGGCAGAGAAAACTAAACAAAGCAAAACCGATTGTATAGAAGTTAAAGAAATAGGTGTACAAAGCGAACAAAAATATTGTCTTCATTATCTTCTGCTGATATGTTTGCCTTCTCTTATCCATTACTTGAATCTTTGTCAGTGAAATTGGAACGTTGCTGAGGGCTCATCACTCATGTTCATTTGTCTCCTCTGCCCTTGGCGTAAGGTTCAGGCTCACGTTTTTCATGGGGCACCTCAAAGCTATCCTTCTTGTAAATTAATCTTGATATTCTCTTCTAGGTTGTTTGCTTTTTATTTTTATTTGTGAATTAAAATAAAGCTGTTTTTTAAATCCCAATTTATTCTTTGACTATGGAAGACTAATTGTGAAACAGAGGTCTGAGCTCTAGAGTACATCTTCAGTTGTTTCCATTGTTTCTAAGATGCTAACAGCAACTGTACATTGTTCCATGAGACCAAATTATTTGCCGCTAAAGAAATTGTTTCAACTACATGTGCAACACTGGTTTCCTCATCTTGATCAGTATCTGAGATGGGCAATTACATGTCAGTGATTCATTAAAAATAAAAAACATCAATTATTACTTTCATTTGTTTTGGTAGAGTAAATCTTGCAAAACATCAAGTCCCTGAGGGGAAAGGTAATTAAGGAGACATATGGTAATGATCATAGCCTCGAAATTACACCTGGATTAATTTATTCTTTATTTTTCTACATCAGTACTTGAATATTTTGATTATTCCAATTTCATAACTTTAATTTGTAAAAGTAATTAAAATGATTTTTGAAATTCAAATAGTTAGATTTTGTATTTTTCAGTTTGGGGTTGGTGAAAATACTGGATTATTTTAAACATAGGCAGAATCAGTGTGTGTTTTCCACAACTTTGTATTTTTTAAATTAAATTTAATTAATTAATTAATTTTTGGCTGCGCTGGGTCTTCGTTGCTGCGTGCAGGGTTTCTCTAGTTGTGGCGAGCGGGGGCTACTCTTTGTTGTGGTGCACGGGCTTCTCATTGCGGTGGCTTCTTTTGTTGCAGAGCACGGGCTCTAGGCGTGCCGGCTTCAGTAGTTGTGACATGCGGGCTCAGTAGTTGTGGCTCGCGGGCTCTAGAGCTCAGGCTAAGTAGTTGTGGTGCATGGGCTTAGTTGCTCTGCGGCATGTGAGATCTTCCCGGACCAGGGCTCGAACCCATGTCCCCTGCAATGGCAGGTGAGTTCTTAACCACTGCACCGCCAGGGAAGTCCCCACAAGTTTGTTTTTATACCAGGAAGTTCCAGAAGTCATGAGGGAAGGTGAACCACACAAAATACCGTTCAGGAGTCTGCATTGCACTTTTAAGTACTGTTGTCCAAGTGTTTACCTTTAGATTTTGACGTTTCTTCTCTCACTGTAGAACTCCTGTTGAATGTAAAAAGACAAATTGATGAACCCTGAGGGATATACAAAACCTGAAATAGAAGTTCAGGCATCTCCTATGTGATATCACATTTCATCCAGCAAAATGAGCTATCATGAAGTGTAGAAATTTAGGAGGGCTTGAGGGGGGAATTTTGAAGACTTTCTAGGAAATCAAATATTTGGTGAGACAAATGGAGAACACAGTTAAGAGGGAATGGCATTAGCTGAGTCTTGAAAGTAGATCAAAAATGAAAATTAGAAAAGATTGTTTTTAAAAAGAATATAATTGATAGGACATATACATACATAGTCTGTCAAGCAGGTGGATCATAGTCTGGCGGTACTTCCTATAGCCGATCTCTTATCCAGTGGCTGGATTTGAGTTCTGAATTATGAGTATATAAACCCTGGTCTGATTGACATTACTCTCTCTCCCTCTAGATATAGTATATATATCAAAATGAAAATTAATTTAATGTTTTTCAAATTATATAAACAATGATTCAAATGATCAAAATAATTCAAATTAAAGATTTTTTGATTATTAAAAACTAACCGGGCTTCCCTGGTGGCGCAGTGGCTGAGAGTCCGCCTGCCGATGCAGGGAATGCGGGTTCGTGCCCCGGTCCGGGAGGATCCTGTATGCCGCGGAGCGGCTGGCCCTGTGAGCCGTGGCTGCTGAGCCTGCGCGTCCGGAGCCTGTGCTCCGCAGCGGGAGAGGCCATGGCAGTGAGAGGCCCGTGTACTGCAAAAAAAAAAAAAGTAGTAAAAACTAACAGTATATACAGTATAAGAAAGTGAAAATGTATAATCCTTTTGCCCTCAGAAAACCATGTGGTCATCCTTTTATGTATATTTAATCATATTCATACAACATATGGAATTTTACATAACTGAGATCACATCTTATATAATGGTTTTGTCATGAATGCCCCCTCTTTTTTTTTTTCTTACATTACTCTTTCTTCTCTCCTCTTCCCATCCAGTATTCTCTCTCCTCCCTAGTAACAATCTTCTGAATACTCTTTTGTATGTCTCTCTGGGCTCATGTACAAACAGCTGTATAATATTCCATGGAATTGATATACCATAAATTTTTAACCACCCATTTATTGATGGACATTCATTTTGTTTGTAGCTTTTTGGCATAACATTAGTGCTACAATAGTATGGTGGTTTTAATTCTGTGATACAGATTCCCAGCAGTGGGATTGTTGGGTTCAATGAATATGTGTATTTTTAAGGATCAAAATATCCATTTAAATTATCTTTGAAATGTTTTGTTGGCCATGGTAATGGCTTTACAAGCTTATCTGGTTGGGATGGGTTAAAACCTAGATGAGTGCCAATTATTTACTTATTTTTTGACATATTAACATAATGGAGAATCACTTGCATCTTCATCTAAAACCAGATATCTGATAGATTAAAACATCTAGGATCAGAGTTATTGTAAACATGGATTGCTCTCAGTATAAGGTAAAGTTGATTTTATTTGAGACGTATGGGAAAAATAAGTCAATAAAATAAGCCAGATGGCCTTTGAAAAATGGAGAAAAGAATCCAGTCCTAGAGAGAGAAGGGACATGCTAACAACTGAGAGAAATGCTTGAAGTTGATAATGATTCTAAAATTGCTGATCTATTTAACTCATTTGAAAAAATCTGCTTCTAATAAGGAAAAATGAAGAAAATGAATTTGGACAATTAGGAAGTAATGAAGAGCTTTCTAAAATAGCTATTGATTAAAGGAATCAAAGGGAATACTTTGAAGATTGAACACATGCAAATCAAGCTAGATGGCTAGTGGTGAAATTTTCTCTTTTTTAATTCTGTGGATCCAGGCAAAACAACTTGGAGCTTCATTAACTGATTAATTTCACACGCAAAGTCACTCCTTTTCTCCTCATTACTTATCCCATCTTCCCTTTTCCTGGTCAGAAGTCAGGTTAAATTGCAATGTGCCTAAGGGTTGGATGCTAAGACTCAGAGGTCTTCTTATTTCTTTCACTTATATATTCATTCATTCATTCTTCTAGTCAGTCTTCTATTTAGTCCGTAGATACTAATACCTCAGTCTGTGTGCTAGGTGCTGCAGATTCCAAAACAAATGTGATATCCTTAGTGTGGTGGGAAATAGAGACCAAGAAATCAGTGATTCTAATATAGCTCATAGGTGCTACGATGGAGGATAGTTCTGTTCTAAAGAAAACAAGAGAGGGTTGCTGTGTGTGATGCTAGGACATAAAGGAAGTTTTATGGAAAGATTTGAAAATACAAAATACAACTTATTCTTAAAGATGAATAGAGCAGTAATATGAAATTTGGCATAGAAAATAGAATATTTACCAGAGACATTAAAAGTACAGCAAGTTCAAGGAATAATAATATAATAATAATAATAATACAAGTAGTTCTCTTGGCTTCAATAAGAGATTCACATGGGACATGGCAGAAAACGTGGCTTTGCTTTCCTTAACTTTTCTTCATCGAGCCAAACCAGCTCTTCCAGAACCTTATGCAGAGATGGTTACTGATTCTTCAAGGACTTTGCCTTCCCTAAGTCCAGGCCCTAAGTCCAGCAGGCAGTCCAGCAGTCGGGGTTTCATACAACCCTACTGGTTGGTGCTTTATACCTATGCCAGAGTCCCCAAACATCTCCATTAATTCGAGGTGTGATGTTTACACACATTAAAAATGGAGTGTTGCTGGAATGTTGTCTGGTGACATGGAAAACCTCAGAAGTTCTGGGATTGAGGTTGGGTCTCACCAATGACGACTTGGAGAAGTCATTTTATAGCTCTAAGCCTCAATGTCATCATTTGTAAAATAATAACAGCTCTAAAATTTGCCTGAGCACTTTCCTCGTACCAGGCACTATTC